TAGCAACTCTAAAAACTAAAAAGAGGAAAAAAATTACATTTTTTATCTTATACCTCAGATATTTTGTTCTGTGTATTTTAATATTGTGGGTCTTTCATTTCTGAAGGTTCCGTAGTTTGGTTGCTGGCTGTAGGAGTTTTTGTGGTTGATCTAGAGAGATGCTAGCTATGAATAAAAACTGGTCTAGGGCCATCTCAGAGTGCTATATCATGTAAATGAATTATATATGCTGACTATTAAGCTACTGGGGTTATCAGCTGTTTGGGAAAGAGTGTAAGTGACTACAGTAGTCATTTTTTTCTGCATCTATTATTTTATTTTATGAAAGGGGAAGGGTGGGAGGGACTTAGGGGGTTGGGACTGGGGTTGGCCGAAAGAGAAAAAAAAAATAGTAACTGATGAATCTAAACGACCCACTGCACCAACGATCATATATCAACGGTTCTAAGTTACTCATTGTCAGTTCAAGCCAAAGGTTACGTTGTTAAGGGGGGTGCTTCTAGTGGCACTTCTGTATCTGAGTTGAGTGAAGCTGTGCAAACCCACCCTTTAAACCATTCCACCCGGCAGTATTCAGCTTCTTAACCAGCCGCTAGTTATTTAGGCAAAAACTGCTAGTTAGGCCATCAACAAGCATTCTTTTTATATTTCTTCCAGTATAATAAATTATTGATATCATTGCTGACTTTTATATTATGGGAGGGAAAAAAATAACATTAATAAAAAGGTGATTAAAAAGCACTGTTTCTATTTTTTTCTTTTTTTCCAAAAAAAGAAAGTAATAAAAACTTAAATTCTTTGTACCAGTTAAAAAAAATGTATAAAATTTACATCTGTGCAGTGGAGTTGTTAAGTTCTAGAAACAGTCTATGAAGCTTTAGTTTTAGCCTATAGAAGAACTGTTAGAGACAGACGTATAATTTTTATGGAATTACACGATAATCATATTCGGATTTATAGAAGCATTTTACAAGTATTGCAATCATTGGGTAGAGATAATCATGGTATTTTCATCAGCTTGGTACTTTTTGAAACATGACTGTGTTGTGTGAGCAATCTGCAATTTTTCAGTCCGTGAGAGCCTGCCCTCCCATTCTTCCTGGTGCCCCAGGATTATCTCAAACCGAGGTCTTTAATTCTGTCTCCAAGGCCCAGGACACTTGTCAGAAGGAAGCAAAAACGTAGGTCCCCCCTCTTCATCCCCGAAGAACAAAGTCTCCCCCGACCTCTGAAGCAGGGCCAGAGTGACACAGCCGAAAAATTGCAGTTTGTCTCTACTTCTTCTGTTTGAACTCTTTCCATGTTGTCCTGTTTACAAGTTAACCTAAGTTGGGGTATCTGTCACGGGTCTTCCTGTTTTTGTATTTAAATTAACAAACAGCAGCAAGCTGTCCCCAGTAGTTTTGCTGCCATAGTTAAATCTTCATGTGTACAGTGCAGGCCCCATGGCACGCACTTTAGTAAGTAATCAACTCACCGCTGTGAACCTGCCAATCCGCTGTAACAACTCTGCTTTCAAACAAAACCAAACAAAACTTAAAAAAAAAAAAAAAGTGTTTGTGATCCAGCTTTCTCTTGTCATCTTATGTGCATGCAGTAAGATCGGTTGGATATTAAACCATCAATAAAGTTTCACAAGATTTGAAAACAAAGTTTCTGTAGCTTCGATATCTAAGACAGATGAGCGCTATAACTTGAAAAGAAGAGAAAGGGGGGAAACTGCTTAGCAGCCCAAAGCATAAAAAAAATGTCCTTTTCCCCAGACTTCTTTGGGTGGGGGAGGGGAGGGGGATGGGGTGTTTCATAGCATCACTGAGTCATTCTCATTCCCCCACCTGGAAAACAATGTTAGGACAGAGGGTGCCTGGTGGATGGTTTTAAAGGAAGCAATTGATTCCAATGCCGTGGCATCCTACCCCGGAGGGGAGAAAGAGAGAAGGGACAGGGGGTTAGGGAGAATAAAGAGATTTCTCCCAATTGCCTCAGATTTCAAAATCCAGAATTTGCATTGTATTTGGAATCACAAACATGGAATTCTTACTGTGTTGGTTAAAGTAAAATTAATTTGCGGTTTTGATTTTCATCGATGAGCTGTACTTTCCCCCATGATTGTATGTAGTTTTAATAAAATCATTTAGGGTAAGTGGGTGCCGACTGATGTTGCAGAATCTTCTGTCTGGGCACTCCTCCAAGATGCCAATAAGTCATTTTAAAATGTATGTCAGAGATGTAAACAAACATTTTGGATTTTTTTAAACGGTATTTATTTGGAATGTTTTCATTTATCTAAATAACTATTGCTATTATGAATTATGGAAAAAAAGATTAATATCATGTGTGGCATATAGTGACTTCTTAACACACACATCACGCAATCTGCAAACCCAGAAAATGTGTATATCTGTCTTTAGAAATTAGTGTTTATATCACTTACAGTGGTTTGTGAATAAAGAAAACTGGTTTGTAATATCAAAAAATAAAAGCTTAGTCTGAAAAGGTACATGTGAGTTGGTGTTATGAGTCCTTTTGCTTCTGTGTGTTTCCTCCGAGGGTCGATTCCTCATGCACACACGTGGCGGCAATTGCACCCAACGGGGGGCCTGGGGTGGGGTTGCCCAGGTGAGTAGCGGGCTGTCATCACCACTGGTAGACCCAGGTGCCTCCTGCAGGTGCACTGGCTGTCTGGCTCAGAAGGCTTCCCTTTCTCATTCACCTTTCCAAAGAAGTCAGTGGAACTAACCACAGATGTTTAAGAAAGAAACAACTAAGCTTAGCTATTCCCCAGCATGGAAATATCAGCCTTTGATTGAAAACAAAACAACAAAAACGAAAGGTGCATTTCAAATGAAACATATGTTCAAGTTGTTAATACAACGTTTGGGGGAAGCTTGGATGAAGAAGATGATAACATAGTAACAAGTGCTAGGTCTGACATCTATTGAGTACTTACTATGAGCCCAGAGTCCTGCTCAGGCTCCTGTGTTCTTATTTCATTTAGTTATTTAATGCTCCCATCAGGGTTGAATTATCTACCCCATTTAGTTATCTCGATAATATCCTAATCCTATCTCATTTAATTATCTTAATCCTACTGTCAAGTTGGTAACACATATAGAGGCTAAAAAAAATATGGAATCTGGAAGCAGATATTCTGAGTTTGAAACCTGATTTGGTCACTTGCTATCTGCAATCCAGGACAAGCTAAATCAAAGCTTTGTGCCTCGGTCTCCTCATCCATAATTCGGGATGATAAGAACACCTACCTCTGAATATTGCTTTGCAGAATAAAGGAAACAATCTATGTGATGGGTTGGCCTCAGTACTTCGTAAGTTGTAAGCTGCTATTATTTACAGGTGAGGAAACTGAGGCACAAAGAGGTTCATTTGTCTAAGATTCCATATCAAGCAAGTGGCAAGGCTGAGATTCCAGAAGGGCATCCCTAACTGATGGAGAAGGTTCTCTCCTGGCCCACTGAGAACTTTCAGCATTCAGCTTTACCTAAGTGCCACAGGCAGTTCCAAAATGCAGGTTGTCTCAGCATGAATTCTACCATTTCAAGTATATTTGATGGTCCGTTTTCTGTCAACTCCTGAGATAGAGGACCATGCAATTTACAGCCAACTTCCATTGCCCTAAGTCCATTGATCCTTGAAGGCAGTATTACCCTCACTTTATAAATGAAGATAATAAGGGTTGATAGGTCATATAAAAGAAACCTGAAGCTTGTGCCGTCTTCTGAAAATTCTGCTCCATTATTGATGATGATGGCGGTGGTGATGTTAAACCTGGGCTTCTAGTCCCCTCCTTAGAAAATATGTGAGTTTATATGAATTAAAACAAAGAAGTCACTAACTTTATCCTGGCACGTGGCAGGGAGGGAGATAAATTATCTTCTAGAATGCTTCCTTACAAACTGAGCCCCTGCTTTGTCCAAATATGAGGATATAAATAAAGATAACAAAAGCAGTGGTTTATATTAGAATCTCCGAAACCAGACTCTGCTCTAAAATGGAGATAAGCATAGAAATTTCACGTGAAGTGGAAAGAAAGTAAAAATGATGGCAGAGGTGAAAGAGTTTCTTAAAAGACTCACCAATGGATGCAAATGTTTGTCACCCACTCCTCTCCTCCACCTGGAGTGTGGGCAGAGGTGAGCCAGTGAGCCCAAAGGAAGCCCCTATGCAACGCATATGCTCTGTGTATAAATAGAGGCTGTTATTCATTTTTTTGTGGACAATGCCTGGGAGGTAGTCAGAGCCTCATCTCACTTGTAATTTTTTTCTTAAAACAGTATTTTAATTAAACAGTAAAACCTTCTCCATGTTAAAAAAATTAAAACATTAGGGATATGAGTCAATTAGCTTAGACCACTATCTCAATCACAATTTCCCACTCAAAATCCTGACAACCTTGCTTATTTGTGATGGCATCTGAAGGCAGTTTCTGCTTCTTGGGAAGGAGCCATTTTTGATGTAAATGGAGGTCTGCTGAGCACTTTATTCTCTCATGCACACACGCATGCCTAAACTCATGCACTCACGCACACAAGCAAAAGCCCTTTACTGCTGTGATGGTGTTCCTTTGACATACAACCCAGAGTCCACCTCTCTCAGAAACAACTGATGAGTTTGTTGAAAAAGCACATTCCTGGGCCTCTTCTGCTTTTATCCCTCTGAAGGTTGAGAACTGCCATTGTGTGGGAGGTACCATCTTTCAGTGAACTTCTTAATTGCGTTCTTGCTTGATTCTCCCTACAAATCTTCCCCTTATCATGTCAGGAGAGGCAATCAATGTGTGTGTGCATGTGTGTGCAGGTGTACACATATACACAAGCACATGCCTACATGTACCTATATATGGGTGCATATCCTCAACCTTTCTCATGACAACATATGATTATTTTTCACCAATAAAGTCAAGACTTAGGACTGAAAGTAATACTCTCACAAGGGAAGAGATAAAACATTTTTGTTGGAAAACACAAAAAAAGCTGTGTTTTCAGGTTGTTTTTGTTTTTTATTTACTACTGGATAATACGTGTGTGTGCATACACACCTGCACAAATATATATAGTAGATTTGGGAGATTGGTATGTAAATTCACAAGGCGCAGTCTTTTCTGAAGGATATGAAACTCTTGCTGTGCCATTGCTCAAGATTCAACCTGATGCTTGATACTTTATGTTGCACCAAGTGCTGGTTCATCTCACAGCCCAAAGCAGAGTCTTTGAGTTCAGGAGTCAATCTGGGGTTTCTCATGGCTGTTATTTGCAGTCCTAAGGGACGTAGATTTGGGGCTGAACAGGAGCAGCTGGCCACTTGGCACTTTTGAAGCGTCTCCTAGCAGAGCCCAGTCTGACCTCATATGCTAGGTACTAATTGCTCTCCTGGAAAATTGCCAGGTGGAGAGGTGGTGTCTCTGACTCTGTGGCCTAGATCGTCAAGGCTGCTCTGATCCCAGATAGCTGGTCTGGAGAAGGGAATTTACCAACTATCTCAAAGGGGAAGTATTTTCCGTATGGCAAATATTTTCTGGATGATCTTGTGATGAAAACAACCAAGGATTTTTTTTAAAACTAGTGGTGTCATTTCCTAAAGGGAACAGATGCTGTAGCTTGTATTGAGAACCAAACAGATAATAATAACAAGACTAAGCTAACATTGTTTAAATACAATGTCAGGCACTCTACAAAACACACATATTTAATCTATATACCATATACACGTAACTGCCTGTATACAGACATACGAGAGGCATTAAAAGGTCTCTTTACCTCTCTCTAATTCAGTTACCTCATCTATAAAATATGGACAATAATAATACCCATGTTACAGGGTTCTTGTGAGAATAAGATGCATTAAAATGTGTATAGCATTTTTTAATACTTTTATAATATATTTTTATATATCTATATAATAACTATTATATATTTTTGTTTTAATAAATCATTTCTATATCTGTCTTATAATTTATATGTATCCTTATTTATTTTATAGATTCCAATAATATATATAGTCCCTATCCATATGACATATATATTACATAACATGGTTATGCATACAGATCTATACACTTGTATACATCCAAAATAAATCTCTTTGCATACACGCACAGATACCAAATGCTTCTTAATATATAATATGTTTATTTGTATGCATTAACATAGCTATAATGCATCCATTAGTGGACAATAAATATATACGCTAATTCTTAAAAGCACTTAGACACATACTGACAGAGTAATCCATCAGCAAATGGGACTTATTACTATAGTTATTATTATTATCTCATTGAATCCTCACAACGGGCAAGGTGGGTAATATCACAAGGGGGCAGAAGCTTAAGCAAGCCTGGAGACCTGGCCGGGGTAGATGGTTCTCAGCGGTAGAGCTGAGCCCTGGGCATCGGCTATCTGACTCTAAAGTTCTTGCTGCTCTGTGCTGAGCAATACTTTACATACACTCTGGCAGTTAATTCTCGTGGCAGCAGGTAAGTAATTTGTCCCACATCACAAAGCTTATGAGAGTTGGAGCTCAGAGCCAAACCTGGTGTTCTTTGCTTTACTGCACACTGCACTCAAAGGTCTGGCTTGAACAACTGCCTAGCGAGCACTTGTTTAGATGATGGGATGTCAGGAGGGTCCGAGAATCTACCTCTGAGAATGCAGACCACCCCTCCCTCGATTACTCCTCGTGAAACTGAGCCTGTGCTCGTGACTGTGACAACCAAGCTCTCTGACTGAAACAAACAGATGGCACACTGCCTGAACGAGGCAAAAAGTGAGCAGAGCAAGAGAATCCCCTAGGATCTAAAAAAAGAAGAAAAAACAAGGGCTGCAGGTAGAAAATAGAAGAGCAGAGACCCAAGAAATAGGGTAATGGCGGTGCTGCAGGCAGGTGATGGTTGGGAGGGTGCAGAATGCAACCTGGCAGGTCATCAGCATGCAGACTCCGACAAACCTTAAAAGGAAAGTTAACCCCCCAAATAAATAAATAAATAAACCCGCCGAAAAGCAGACAACGATAACGGCAGGCCAGCAAAGGAAACCCTCGTGCTCACATCTGGAAAGTCAAACTTTCGTCAGCCGCACCAGGAAGTTGTCTAGAACTGAAAAACAGGTCAGAAGCACTGCGTACAGCTTGACTTTTATCTCCCGCAAGCACTCCTAGGCTGGCGAGCAGCATTGAAATTCATTACCGTAAGTAGGATTTCAGCACCAGCTCAGCTGGACAGGGCTGTCAGCCTAACTGGCCCACTGCAGCTCTCTCCTTTTTATTTTCCTAAACTGCGTGACTAGATGATGTATTGTTCCTGGGACTATTTTCCCTTTTTTCAAAGCACTGTTCTTCCCGTGTCACCCTAAAGACTCTGTGTGTGTGTGTGTGTATGTGTGTGTGTGTGTGTGTGTGTGTGTGAGAGAGAGAGAGAGAGAGAGCATGCTTTGTGAGAAAAGGAAGTAAGAAGCACAAAAAATCCCACAAAACTTTCAATGTCTGTTG